GTCGACCAACTGAGCGATTGGTTATTTGGCGGATATGAGTATTTTAAGTTTACAAAAACAATACAAAAGAGTTCGTAAGTCAAAATAGTTGAATATTTAGAAATAAGATCAATAATGTCATACCTTCAAAAAAGTTTTTATTTGAAAAATTGCAACACTTGGGCTGCCAAAACTGGTATTTAAAAAGCAACACTCATATAAGTTGTATTCTTCATTTTTTCCCAAAAATAAACTTTTGTTTTTAGTTTAATTTTTTCTGTAAAAAAAAAAATAACAAAATTTTCTCAAAAGAAACTTTCGATGTTATTTTATTGTGAGTGTGAATTTGCTAATAAATACAAAAATAAAATAATTCTTCATGCAAAATAAAAATTAAATTCGCTATAATTTTTAACAAGAAAGTTGTCAGTTCTGCGTTGTTGTTTCTGTAGTTTAGCTACAGAGCTTGTTGATACCACAACGATTGCTTGTTTATGCAACACTTCAAAGGGCAGAAAAGATCTCAGTAAACTAATGCACAACAACCCACACATAAATATGTACACACATACACCGAACTTAATAATACGGATGATGATGATGATGTGGTATGCATGTTATGGCACACAATTGGATTGCAGCTGGCATGTGGTGTTAATGAATGAATGAATGGATGGATGAATGAATGAATGAATGAGTGAATAAGGCATACGCAGCGCTCTAATAACAAACTGTGCTCTGCTAATATCTGCTAGAAAATCACACACGTATACTACATACCTACATATTTCTCTACCAATGTATGTGTTAAGAGCATTGTTCGGTGAAAGGTGTTAGCAAGTATATATATACATATATGTATGACTTTGTATTGATTGTGATTGCGCTGTCGCTCGACTATTTTCCGCCAGCTGGCGTTACATTCATATATATGTATGTGATTTATAAACTGTGCACCTGACGCTCTTTTAATGTGCTGACATCAATGTCAGCTTGTGTTGGTGATAACATGATATCTGACTAACACCAACCAATGCCATCTGCTTCAACACCACCACCAGCTGCGCCTCCTGCGCCGTCAGCATTGTTCTCTTAGCCTTAGTTGTTGTTATTATTGTTTGCTGGTGCTGTTGTCGCCTTCATCGGCGTAATACTAAATTAATAGCATTTGTAAACAGCGTTTAATCCATTGGAATTGCCCAACAACACGCTTTCGTGTCGCGCCAATGACAAAAGCCGTGCTGCCAGTGGGGTCTCATTGCCCCATACATATCTGTAGCCTTCAACTAACAACGCTAACACTACAACAAAGCGGTAACACAAGTGCAATCAACTTTCACCCGCCTGTTGCGTCTGCTCCTACAGTCACACAGTCTAGAGTGTGGGTGTGGATATTTAGGCTTTGGTTAGGCTGTGGCGTATACGTAACATTAAATTACAAGTCATTCACTACAAGTTGGCATCCGCCCTCTTGTGTTCCGCGCGTTTTACTATTTTCCATTATTATTGTTGTTGTTGCTGCTGTTGTTTTTTCAACCCAACCCTTACATAATGACCCTTCACTTCATTCACTCCACACTTTGGTAGTATTCACAATAACGCTGTCAACAAACCGCATTTGTTTTTGCGTCATGTCTGACTGTGAATAACGGATTTATACTCGTACACATTAAACGCAGACGAAGCTCAAACGCCCCGTGTGTGTTGTGGCACTAGCTCAGTGCATTGGTGTGTTGATGTTACTGACAGCTGAGGTAATTTTGTGTGAAAACGTTCAACACTACGAACGAAATCATTTCTAATTTATTTATTTTTTTCATGCCTTTCCTTTTTTATTTTTGGTTTTTGCGCACCCTTTTTTCTATTTTTTTATATGTCATGTTATCTGATTTTTTTACACCGATTTGTGTATAAAATTTGTCATAGCATGTCAGCACCCTTCATGTTGTAATGAAAGAGTGCTTGTTTGTATGAATAAGTGACTGAATGATGGCTGTTTGAATCAAATTGTGTTCATAAATGATGATGTAAGCTTCGGAAGTGATTCAGGTGGGTGTAAATAAATGTTTGTATGTTTATTTGAATATATTTTCAAGCCTTTATATTACTATTATTTTTATTATTATCTAACCTAATTTCCACCAGAGGATATAATTGAAAATGTTACAAAAGTTTTTCGTGCTAAAACTAAAACTGAGGGTAATTAATGTCAGTTTCAATTGGAAAAAATGCTTAATAATTTTTAATACAAGCTCTTTCTTTTTCTTTTTATTTTTTGCTGGAAGAAACTTTAAACTTGCCATTCCGAGTATATTTTCAAATGCATTTTAAGATGAAGGCAATATAAATATTTTTTTTCTAATCTTCCTTGCTGGAAACCAGAGTGAAGCCATTTAGCTTTCCGCCGGAGTGAAGGCTTTACTCTTTCTCTGCTTTCGCTATCAGGTCCTTAATGGGACACTTTCAGATTGGATATGTTTTCGTCCATGTGGGAAGCCTCTGCTACCGTCTCCTAATACTCTGGACTATACCTCATGCAGCTTATCGTTTCATCATTATCGTCGGACATGCACAGCCGGCAATACATCTTCCGAAGATTTCTCAAGTACAGGAATGATAAGCATTTTGCAGATATTTGTTTAGCAAGAGAGGATCTTACTTTTCAATCGTATACACCCTCTGAAGTGTTACTTATGGAAAAGAATAATTCTGTGCCGGATTCTAAGGCTGACTCTCTTGGTAACTATACAAAACTGTCTGCCAACAGTCTAGGACTACCAACAGTTTTTGGCTGATAGCATATGTATCGTTTTCTCCAAATTCCTTAACTTCACATCGCCTCGCATCTTTATCCAATATTGAGGCAGCAGAAGTTAGCGCGAAGTCATTGGTATACGCCAAAGTGAACAGAAGATTATGCCACATCCCTTCAGCTCTGCATTTTCTGTATTAAATTTGTGAAAGCACGCGATAAAGAGTTATCTTAGTTTGGTAGAGAACGAGTTTACCAGTACTCAGACGACGCTGAAGGGGGTTAGAGTTTCACACAAAATGTCAGACAATATTTTATATCACAGTATTTTCATTATCTTCGATTTGAGATTCGGTTTCAACATCTCCGGATTTTGCTTTTCACTGCCATTCGGCGGGCTGCAGAATTGTGTATTTATATATCCAGAATACTCTGGGAATCAGTCGATATATTAAATATAGATGGTTGGCGGCCGCGGTAGGCGAGTAGTAAGAATGGCTTAACCCAGTATTATCTCAGTGCACTGTGGCGCTGAAATTTCCGAGCACGTTTTTAACTTCATTTCAGGAGGTAGCTTAGCTCAGAGATTTCATAAAATTTTTCTTGTTTACATCGTTGTGCCTTTCTGTAGATAATGTAGCGCTAATCAGAGATGTGTCGAAAATAAATGGTATTTATTTATAAATTATTTATGGTTTTTTAAGATTATATTATTTAGTTTTTAGCTCCTTGATTCCCTCTGTAACTTATTTATTTAATGTTTCCATTCTTCATTTTTTATTTAATATTTAAGCAATAACAATTATATTTACTTCCATAATATTTAATTGATTTATTTAGCTCGTTTCCTCTTTCCTAAGCTACGAATTTCTTTTCATAATATTTATTTATTTATATCTAACCATTTATTTATTTAACTGATTATTACTGCATTATAACGAGAAATTGTGTTTATCCTCAATGCATAAATATGAATCAATATTTGTCAAAGCAAAAATTATCGCTTAACCTCTCATGTCTGCTCTTCCACAAAGCATAAATTAAAACCTTTTGTGAGCCGCCATTAATTAGATTGTGTTGTTAAGTTGTTCAACAATTTAATGTATAAGTTCTGACACATGTAATTTTTTATCTTTGGCTATCCATATCGTTATTATTATATTTATTTATTTACGAGCATGAAATCTATGCAAACATATGTAAAGTAATTTGTTTGCATAACTTTTGTCAATAAAACATTTATTTTGCAGGCCTTAAATTTTAATTATAATTGTTTTTAAGTTAGCTCAATCGTGTTAAATGTTAAAAATGCGTAATTTATGCAAAGCAATTAGGTTTTTTTTTGCTCGGATAGTATTTTGATAGAAGCAAAAAGAAAAAAAAACTATCTATGAATTTTATATGTGTGTATATGTACGTGTATAGAGGCAATAATTTTATCAGTGAGTTATGAATGTAGAAGAAAAAGTGTATGTAATCGATGAAGTGCCGCATTTTCATTATTTAATTATGATATCAGCAGCTACTTAGTTGTATATATATATATATGCGTGTGTGCATGGCTGTGTGTTAACACCTCTGGAATTGTATTTTAATTGCATTATTTATACATAAAGCCGCTTATTTGCTATGAAATTGCTTGCGGAGTATTTTTTATTACAGTTATCTTAATTTGTACAAATTGCATGGGAAAAAATGCATAATGCGTGATATAATTTATGAGTCATTAATTTTTTTTCATTCTTGTGAACATAATATTTTATTAACAATTTTTTTTTAACATTTTTATACTACAACTTTTTTTTTGGAGAGTTTTTGTTTTGGTGAGAGTGGAGTTATTGTATAAAAATAGCTGTTTTTTTGCATTAATCAAGTTTAAGCAACGGGTCGTTTAAGTATTTATTGCCAATGAATATTTCAAGGACTCTTTCAATTGGCTGTTTAATTTGTTAGGCGTTTTTTTTTATACTTTTCAGTTATGAGAGTGGCACGTTTAAAGAAAATTTCAACAATTTTTTGGACAAAAGTTTTTGCTGATATTTAATTATTAATTCTAATAAAATATTTTGGGACCGAATGAATGAATTGCTCAGCTATTAATTGGTTTTGTAAGTTAATCAAAGCATCAGTTCCGATTTTTTGCTTGTATTTTATTCAGTTACTAATTCTATAATGATTTTTTTATAAAAATTAGTCGGTTTTATAACAGTTAGTATTTATTTCACCTTTAATCCATAATAGTTGAAAATATACCGAAATTTTCACTTACCGTCTTCTTTGCTGGCGGCTGGCACATTGTAATTATAGCATCTGGATTTGTATAAACATACATTTGTTGTAAATTTCCCTAATCAGAATAAGTAAAATTACGAATATTAAATATGACAAAATAAAAAGGTTTTATGTATGCCTACTAACGCCAGAGTTTCTTGGGAGAGTACACATTTTCCTGTTTTGAGTTGAAAAAAATGTAATAAATTTAGAATTTCCAGCTGGAAACAAAGTTTTCAAGCCTAATGTAATATAAAATTATTTTGTTGATTTTGTTTGATCAATTTAAAAAAAATTTTATTTCAAAAACCAGTATTTAAAAAATATTAAAATTTATTAAAAAATTAAGAAAAATAAATAAATAAAAATAATAATAGTATATAATGAAATATATTAGTAAGTAAATTAATAAATAAAAACAAAAACAAATAAATAATTTAATAAAATTGTATATAAATAAATAGCAAACAAATACATATTTAATTAATTTACTGAATAAAAAATTAACAAAATAAATAAATACATAAATAATTTAAAGACTATGATGATATAAATATAAGTAAAAAATATTTAAAAAATTCATTAAAATTAAAATAACTGATTAAAAAATTTAAAATAAAAAAGTACATAAAAAATATTAATAAATATAGAATAAATAAAAAATATATTAAAAATAAATAACATAGGTAACAAAAGTAAATAAGTTAATAAATTGATTGGTTACTAAATAAATAACTACATAACGAAATAAAAAACTTTATAGATAAAAATACAAATAAAAGAACAAAATTAGTTAATTGATTAATTAAAAACGAATAAAATAAGAAAATAAATATATAAGTAAATAAACAAGCTAATATATAAAAAAATAAAAAATAAGAATGAAAAAGAAAAAATAATTAAGAAAATAAATAAACCGCTCAATAAATAAATAAATATCTCAAAACTCAAATGAGAAGGGAAATAAAATAACACTTTTCACCCAGAGATCACTCATATCTGAGCTATTGGTACTACGCTTCAGATGTGTGGAAAGCTTTTTTAATTACTTGTATATTAAAAATAATTCCCTTATCAAATGCCTTTTTATCAAACTCTATTTTTTCACAAACATACTTCCATCTCACACACTCTCTCACCCACACTTGCCCAGTAGCGTGATATTAATAATATAAAGTTCTCCTTATATTGTAATTATCTACCGTCAGAATAATCAAAGGTTGCACAGAATGATGCTAAAACAATTTATACATGCACCGACAACATTAATAACAAGAACAAAAATCTGCAATAAGAAAAACAGCTGCTCCTGCTGCTGAAGCATCAGCTACACTTACAGCCAAAAGCAATCGACGTGTGGTGATGGCAGCAACCACTTTGATGTTGTAAGTTCATAATGTTTTACATGTTGTTCGACAAGCCTAGCAATTGTTGTTACCTACACTACTCACTACTCACTACTCACTGCACACCACTGTGCCCTTGAAGTGAGGCGCTGTTTTCTGACACTTCGCTAACCATCCTTCGGTTGCGTGCATAAGCGTCTTGACACAAGAACAACAAAGGTGGCTTCGCACATGAGAATGTATTGTGCTTATTTATGTACAACATATATTTGTATATGTTTGTACATATGCGAGTACTCTACGTGTCAGCTGTGTGTGGCAACATGCACCTTGAGCTGTCAGACTCATTAGCATTTTTTGACTGCATGCAAATAGGGCTGTTGGCTGTCGTGGTGGTGTGGCAGTAAAGCGAAGCGTAAGACCGCTTATGTAAGTGTGTTTTGATATTTACAATATATTTGTACGACGGTAAATATGCGCAAATGCATGTTATGCACGTCAGGCATGCATAATATGTGCCTAATTAAAGGAGTTTGCTAATGTGCTCTATAAAAAGGACAGAGAGGGAGAAATTTAAAATTTTTTGTAATTTTTTTTTTCACCACGAGTTAAAGCCTCTACTCGGATAGATCATAAACATTTTCTCAACATTTGTAGAAGCGTAAACTCGGTAGCATAAGCGTGGATTGAGTAGAAATCAGTTGATTTGCATTTAATTTGATTGATACAGAGTTTCCGTTTTGCTAACTTTATGCCAAAAATAAAATTGCTTACCTAAAATTTTACTCAAATTTTGCAAAGTAAGACTTGGCTGCGCTGATATAAAATCCTTTCTGAATTCAACTTGAGTAGAACATTTGGCGCTAACGGTTGTAGGCTTGACACGAGTAGAATAAACCCGCTTAGAAATGAAGCATAACTGAAAGAAGAAATGTTCCATATTTTTCCAAAATTATATTTCAGCAATCCGACCATTGAAATATTCTTTGACATTGCCTAAATCTTGATCTTAAAATTTTGATAATTGCACATTACTCACTTTTATTTTTTTACATTATTTATTGTTTTAAAATTTAATATATAAATTTAGTAACTCAAATTCTTTTTTTTTATAAACTGGTTTGTTTGTATGAGTTAAATATTTTGTTATACAGCAAGGAAAAATGGTAGAAGTGACAGCTGTTTCGGAGATCAACACCTCTCCTTATTAGACTTCTTATGCTAGGGATCGAACCAACAGATGCTGACTTAACAGGCAAGTGCTCTACCACTGCGCCCACATCAGCCATGTAATCTGTTGTTGTATTATTCAATCCATATATAACCAACAGCTATTGAGTGCGCTAATTTAGCCGCTATTTTCTTAATAGCGTAGTTAGTGAGTTTCTTTGGAGTCCTCTACACATGAAATAAATTAAAGGAATTAACTTAAAACTTGTTGAAAATAAAGTAAGCAATACTTAAAAACCACAAAACTTTTAACACTATTATAAAAAAAAATAAATAAAATAATATGATTTCAGTAACTATTTCATAAAAAATTCTTAAAATTATTTAAAACCAAATTAATAAATAAAGATATTTTCTTTGATTTATTTTATTCTTGTTTTATTTTTAACTTTTTTCTTTTTAAGTTTTAAAATTTCAAATGAAAATTCCTTTCATTTGAGTTCAGTTTAAATTAAACAAAAAAACTATTTTTAACACCATTTCTTATTAAAGGCACAAACAAATTGGTCTTGGAAAACTTTGCCCAGCCCGAAACTTTAACTCCTACGATTTTTCTCTGCGAAAGTTTGCAACACCACACTTTTTTATTCATTTTTTTTTTATTTTCTTTAAAATATATTTGCACTCTGCTGTGAATAAAACAAATGACACAATTTTTTTCACTTTTCTGCCAAGCAGCCAACCAGACAGCCCAACAAGCTAGCAGCCAGCCATATTAGCCCAAATGTTGCAACTCAAATAAGCTAGCAGTTCGGTGACACGACAGCTCAGCTGAGCAACAAAAAGCTAAGGAATAAAGTTAAAATCAAATAAAAAAATACCCACAACAACAAGGCGCTCGATGGCACGCAGCTGGCATTGGCGCTGCCATTTTGATAAATGTGAAAGTAGCGGAAGTTTGCACGAGATTTACGAGTTGTGGCAGACAAACGCCGAGCTAAACTACCATAAACACACAAACGAACAAATAAATAATAGTAAAAGTGAAAATAAAAATAAAAATAAAAATAATAGCAAAGCGGGAAAATGCAAAGAGGGAAATGCATTGTAAGAGCGGCAGCTGCAGCAGTTGTTGTTGGAAATGGCTGTGTGCTGCGGCAGAGCGGTTTTCGAGTTGCAAGCCGCAAATGCAGATTTTCACTCAGCAAAAAACAAAAAGAAAAACAGCAATGAATGATTTTTCAGACAAATTTGCGCTACCGAAATGAAAAGTGTGAAAACAATTTCGAAAAAAAAGTATTAATAATAAAATGGTATAACCTCAAAAAAGTGCCTCGTTCTTTAATAAGTCTTATGCAACCGCTGTAAGCGTACTTTATGTTGATAAGAAAAAATTGTTGTATACTAAGTGTCATGTATTAAAAAAAAAAAGTTAAGAAAAATAATAAGAAAAAATTTTTATCGCCCGCTGCTGCCTGCAGTTGCTTTCACTCGACCGCTACAAAGTGACGTGACCATTTATTAGAATAGCACTTTTGGTGTGCTTGTACTATTTCCTCCTTTAACTCCTTTATCTTGCGTTTTTTTTGTAATTTTGTTTTGTTTTTTTTTTTTACTCTTTCACTTTATTGCCCCAGTTCCGTTGCCTGTTTTGTCTGTCATGTCGCTTGTTTGCTCAGCTGTTTACTTTGCTGTTTGTCTGCCTACCGCGTTGTCACGTTATCTTGTCATTTTGATGGATTTGGCTATAAGTCTTTGTGGGCACCATCAAAACGAGTAACAACTGTAACGATACCCCGCTTTGCAGCGATACAGCGGCAGGTGGTAGGTGGCAGACGACACTATAAGGTGTCAAAATCTACGCGAACGTGAGCACACCGCTCAGTTGCTGCTGCTACAGCAATGACTCCGGACTATAACTCAGAGCTGGGAGTAGAGCTTTTTTAGCTAGCTGAGAAGCTAGAAACAGTTTGTGAGTTGCGCTTTTAATGACAGGTGAGTTGGAAAAACTGGATGGGTATGCTCGCAGTAGATAAAGTGTGTTGAAAAATGTTGTTGGATTTTTTTTCCTCCAAACGCAACTGTATGTAAGCTGATACGAGTTTTTGTTTAAAATTGCTGATGACTTCTGCGGTGATATTCAGCATTTGGCTGCTTGGTATGCAACTGTGATTAAATTAATTATTTTAAAACATATACATATATATAGTACATAGATACAACTGCCCCTCCAAAACGTGATAAGCTTCTAAATGTTTTCCAACAAATGAAGGAACTAACAACTTATTATGAGCCGCCCCCGAACGGCTGATGGATTCTTATGAGTATCTTTGATTTTCTTGTCGGAAATACTAAGGAGCTAGACCTGCCCATCCAAGAAGGGTCGACGGAATTTACAAAAACTGATTTTCTATTAATTTTGATGTTGGTCGAGCCAGGCCTTAAGTCTGCCCTTCAGAATGACAGTACACAATGCTATTGTGGCCAATCACAACTCAAACAATAATTTGGCGGTATACACAATGTTACATGTGCAAAATGTCTGAATTTGAATATATCT